TTCTTCATCTACTAGCCCGCCAGTAACCTGAAGCCATATCTAGTGAATTGAAAAAATATTTCCCCCTAAAATGTCAATGCAATCTTGTATATTTGGTATGGGAAAAACATCTTTTGTTGAAACTTTGTTAAAGGGCCTTTAATCTATACAAAATCTCATTTTCTCATCTTTCTTTCGCATTAATACGGGAGGAACGTCTCTATGTGAGTGAAAAATTCTTTAGAGGGACGTTAAACAATAACCAATCAATCAATACGGGAGGAGAGGCCCACTCTGAAGAGAGGGTTGAATTATATCTTTTTCAAGCATTTGTTCAATATGTTTTTTTTTCATTTTTAAACCCTACTCGAGTTCTACGCTACTTCTATTTGATTGGCTTTCTCCAAAAGTGTTAATTTTATGAGTTATCTCCCCATTAAAAAAACCCAAAACAAAATCATCTTTGACAAAAACATGTTGAAATCTGTTTGGCAAAGAGAAAGCTTTATAAAGGTCTTCTTTATTTCGGTTAGTAATTAATCTATCATATAGGTCTTGTTAGTGAGGTGGTAACTGAGATTTTAATTTTCTGACATGGTTTAGTAATGGGGTGATTAATTTTAATTTTATTGACAGATATTTGTTGTCATCTTCCAATCAACCACTTCATCTATTTTCATTCCAAAACCATATTTTCACCATTTTCAAAGTGACAAATCTATCTGTTGGCTTTTAAAGGAAATGCTTGTATGTTCTAATTAATTACAGAATTTGGAGGCATAAAACCCTCAGAAGAATTCTTGTCCCTCTCAATACAAAATGAACCTTGAATGATCTGTCAATTTTTTTTGTAATTTTAACTGTATGAGGTGGTATAACTGTTATTTTCTTAAAAAACCGTATACCGAACATCATTCTTTGAACTCTCTGTTTTGATCTTAGTGGTTGGTACTGATGTTTATCAAAGTAAGAGTCAAGTTTTGCATATTGATAATGCTATTGTGTGCCTTCAAAAAATCAAGTCCAAGTAATAATGAGTCTGCTATCACTCCAACCACACATCCCACCGTTGTACATTGGCCCTACTCTCAACTAAACCTTTTCTGCTATTTTGGCGGTGATGTAATGTTTACCTGCCCCTTTCAAAGTTATTTTCTTACTTAATTTTGATTTGGGTTTGAGGGTTTCAAAAAGTTCATTGTAAGAAGCCAAATCCATGGGGAAAAACTATTAACGTTTATGACGTCATAGTACCACTGCGCAAAAATGCGATGCTGTGCCATGCTAAGGCCTGATTGTTTTAAATAAATACAAATGAATATTATTTGAGCAAAGATTAACCCTTATATTTTGGATATAGGTGAAATTAACACATCAGTGAAAAAATGTAACAACCATAAGCTATAAGAAACTTGGATGGGTGCAGGACTAACCCAAATCAGTCCAATAGTGTGCGAGGACTAACCAGAAAATCTCTCGGGTGAGTTGAAAAAAACATTAGTGTTCAAGAACTAACCCTTATCAGTCGAATGGTGTACAAGGACTAACCCTAATAGCTATGGTTGGCGAAAACAATAAGCAAAATCAGTACAAATGTATGCGAGACAAATACTAAATCAATTGAGAAATAAGATATCCTTTTTTTAAATGTCATCTTGAATGGAAAAAGTCATGACGTCGGGCTAGTGTGACGTCATAAACGTTGATTGTTATCCACACCATGGACTTTGGTGTGTCAGACCATCGCACTTTAGCGCAACTTGTCTATAGGAAACGAGCCATAGGACTTCGGCGTGACCATCGGACTTTGGCGTCCGTAAAGACACCGAGCCACGGGTTTGGCAGAATCGGATTTGGCGTCACCATCGCACTTAAGAGTCTTACATATTGTATTTGACAAAAGATTTGGACACAAATTAACTCGGTTAACCCTTCCATGCTTTGTTTAGTGCCTGCACTGCCATATGAATATTGCATCACTTAATGTCGAGTCTTTCTTTTTGCTTCTTTCGCTAAAATTTTATTAATGCCCTTTTATAATATTTGTCTTATTCAACAGACTGTCGCATTGAAGATTTTTTTGTATTTTGTGATTTCTTTTAAAATGACAAGAATTTGTGAAATGCTGATCACTGATTGGCTTGTGTTGGAGTCGGTTGTTGAACAGAGGCGGGCTGAGAAAAACATGTGATCTAATTTTCTCAAGATCAAAATTATCCACGTAACACAGAAATGCTGAAATATTTCTCCCAGAATCGAGCAATTAATGATATGTAATGTTTTTGTTTGTTATTTGGTTTCGTAGTCATAAAAAGCCCCCATTAAATATGAACTTCCTATTTTTGAAATTACACTGCATCATATGATTTCTAAGATTTAATCATATTCGATAAATATTAATAATTTATAATAATTCGAAAAGTAAATGCTTTGACTTTATCGTAACTATATTAGATCTATTATTGTTGAAGATTTTACCTAAAAAGCATGAAAGTGTTTCTCAAGTTTTTATCATTTTAAGTGTTTCTTCAATAAAATGGAATGAGTTTTTTTTTACCCTATTTAACGATTCCCAGATGGAGTTCAGAATTATTTATTTATTTATTTTATTAATGTTATTTGTTTATTTTGTATGGTAACTTTAAAGATTGTCAATGCATTCTGTCCAGGCCTTAATTATAATTCTTGAGGAGGGAGATTATTTGTTACAGGTTTAGAAAAGTGGATAATTCTTTTTTTTTTTTTTCCTAAGACTTAAAAGAAATATACTTGGAAAATAATAGTACTACTTTAATAAAATAACAAATATGGACAAATCACACTCAATTAACATGGTTAAGGTTTACAGATGAAAACAACTTTCAGAATATGCATGTTTAGCTTGGTGCTAACAGTATTATATAAACTTATATAAACTTTAGAAAAATATACCTAGCCATGTGAATTTTATCGGGAAAATCAAAATACTAAAATTCAGCATTGTAATTTTTCTGGGTTTTTTTTTTTTTCATTTTGTTTTTCCTTATATCTCAATATATTTCATTTTAACCTTTTGGGGTGATGAGGTGTATAGTTGATAAAAAACATTTTTTTTTTACGAAAACCTGGCTAATCTTACTTTTTTATGTTCAGTGGACTAAGGTTTCAGAATTTTAATGTCATTCTTGCGCGGCCATGTAGAGTCAAAATGATTCTTTTAGATCTCTGAATATCTTACATGCACATTCTTCACAAAACACAATCCTATTTTAGACTGAGTCAGGGCATGTCCTGAAGATTTGATTCTAAATTTGGCCAGTGGCGAAGTAGATATATAGAGCGTCTTTTCTCGGAGTGTGGAGTTGATTTTTCGTCGCGGGCTCAAACCCCCCGTGGACCGTGAGGGCCATTCTTCGGATGAGACCGTATACATTAGGTCCCCTTTTGCAGTAGGTGCTAGCACGAAAAAGATCCCCCACTGCTCAGTGGCCCTTGTGCCCAAATACACTGTAAAAATTGTGTTTAGAGTTTAAACACTTCCATGACGTGTTTAAAAAACATGTATAGAAATATGTTTAACTACTAAACACTTATGTCTTAACATGTTTTATATCTAAACGTGTTTAGAAATTAAAAACGTTCAGCTGTAAAATGCAGAGTTATCTTCCCGGGAAAAGACATAAATCTGAATATTTGAACGTTAATTTAACGGCCATCGAAACAAAGTGAATCACAAGAGGCTTTAGGGATTTTCAAGGAGAGATACTGACAACCCAACGGATAACCCTGAAGAAATATTGAAAACCATTCGAAAGGCATCTCTTAATGCAATATATTAAAGGTATATTTTCTTTTTTATTACGATTTGCATTATTAATTTAAACCACGATGAGCAATGTAAACAGTGCCTTGAGGTTGTTTATAGACTTGTAGGAGAGAAGTTTATATTGAATTTAATTAAAAATAACTATTTTTATATAAATATAGTTTCAATGCACTTAAAAAATTGATGTCATTTAAATGGGACATACAATACTTTCACTTAAATCTACTTTTTTCCAACAGGTTATGTGAGTAACTAGTCGGGTTTAATAAAGCATGCATGTATCAAAGTACCTGCATGGCTCATCTTCAAGTGCTAATTGTTGTTTCATGATCAACACTAAGAAATGTATTTTTATGAAGTGCATTGGGTTACCCCAATTCCAAAAGTTGGAATTTTAATAACATGTACCTAAAATTATCATTTTGTGATTATCCTTGGCATTTGAAATGGATTAATTACTTTTGGCAGTTACTGATGGGATATTATATCATGTGGTGCTATGTAGTGCTTTAGGACTGCTGAAAGTGAATCAAGTTTGACATTTTGATGACTACATATGGAACACTCTGCAACCATTAAACTGTATTTAATCATATACAAAATACTATGTAAAATAAATATTTTATAATTTTGATTGAAATATCTTTGATAAAGCATTATTAAAATGATTAAAGGAAGTTTTGATATAAAATTGCTAGCTTTTTTTATTTTTGTTGCTCATCACTGCGTTATAAAATTATGTCATGCTGATTGAATTTATAAAGACCAAAAAAATTAATTTGTGTGAAAAAACATCCCACAATTCTAAAGTATCTACATATTTAACATTCAGAAGCCTTATGATGAATAATTAACTTATATCGGTTAATATTTTGAAAATTTTGACAATAATATTATGTGTTTTAAATAATATGCTCTTTGTGCTGAAATTTACAAGTGTTTATATTTTTCTGTAGTTACATGTACACTTGTTTTAATATGTTAAATCTAGATATGTTTAATTTCTAAGCACATAATTAGAATATGTGTTTAAAATTCAAACACTTTTCTAAACACTTTTTTGTCACCTTCTTTTTTATATGTTTAATTCCAAAACATGTAAAATTTCTAAATTTTTTTCAAAGTGCGTAATTTTGCCACAGTGGTGTTATACGGTTTCGAAGGGACGGGTGCGTTTTATTCCCCGTTAGTGCTAAAAGCGGAAAGTCCATCACTCAGTTGCAATAACATCAGTAAAGGAAAAACCCCTACATAAACAAATACATGGGCGCAGACATTTTGGACACCCAAGGTTGTGCGGAAAAAAAGCAGCGGGGGTGATTGGTCAATAAGAGAAAAGACTTGTTATGTATTTGACAATAAAATAAATTTATAAAAATCTGATATCAAGACTTGTTTTTCTTTGAGGTATATAGGAGTTACAGGTAAAAATTTGAATGGAGGGATGCACTTTGGTTAATTTTTTCATTTGGTGTCAAACGCACCTAGTTGTAAACAAATGGAAATTGAAAGTAAAAGTGCAACGGCACGGTATATTTTTTCTGGCATTTTTTGTGTTCCAATATCTCGAACTTTCACACAAAAAGACCATTTTCCCGAAATTCAATATATGTATCGTAGAGGTGCTAAAGTTTGTAGGGAAAAGTCTATGGGAAAACATTTGGTGGTGTTTGTCCTATAGAAAAGGTATGATTTCATGGATAAAAATTGATTAAGCCAAAAAATCAATCAGTTCCTATTTTTTGGCTTGGGATTATATTTTAGTTAGTTTTGACTATTTGTTTAAAAATTAGGGGGTTTGGGGTAAATTGGGGCTCACAATGGGGACTGCACATAGTAAAAAAATGAAATTTTTTGCCCTAGCTCTCATATTTTAATAAATGTACATGTAAATAATTTTAAATAAATATTTATACCGAAATTTACTGTGAATTTTTAATTAATACAATATCAATATTTATGGGCATCATCAATACACAAAACATATGAATATCCCCCTCGCAGTTTGAAAAATTCATTTAAATCCATGTATTTTATAGTGTAGACATTGGAAAATTAATAATCCTTTTAAATTTGTGTTAATCAGAGTTGATTGAATAATTTATAACAAAATTTGACTGCTGTTAGCTAATTGGGGTACTTTTTTTTTACATAAGGGGCAAAATCCAGCAGAAAAGCCAGTTTCAGTCATGTAATCAGTGCGGGCTTGAAAAAAGAGTTACTATTGGTGAAACTTAGGATTACAGTAGGAAATTTAATTTAAATTTACACACAATATATTCTTGCTGAAAATACATTAAAATGCAAAAAATGCAAAATTATAACTGAAAAAATTATGAAAAAGGTTTAAAAAATTCCCCCCTCCTTGCCATATCCAATCTTGATATTCTGCTAAAAGGGGGGGGGTAATTTTGTGCTTAAATCATGCTGAAAAATGAAGGAATTTTGTTTAAATTTGGTTTATTTAAATAAAAGAGTCATGCTTATCTACAGTTATTTTTTTCCAATTTCTTTGTTTTTTTTAAAAAATAATTATCTGAGAAAATTTATTTAACATGATTTTTTTAAAGGTATTACATCAAAAATGTTTAAAAAGAAATTCAAAATAGGGGAAATAATAAAAAATTAAGATATAAGCTGCTATATGCATTTATCAGTAGTTTTAATAAAATAAAATGTATTTTAGCAATGCATTATCAAGAAGGAAGAGATTAATAACCCTACCCTTTAAATAAAAAAACATGGACAATGGGATACCCTTTTGTTTCATTAGATTTAAGGTATGGTTTTCTTAAAAATTTTAATCTCTTAATTTTTAAAGTTATTAAGAACTTTTTATAGATTATTGAAAAAAATTTCCTAAACTGCAGTTATTCAAATTTTGCTTACAATTAGCATATATTCAGTCAGACAATATGATTTATCTTCCCTTGGATTTAATCAATTTATTAATTATGTCTTTATAAGAAATAATATGCTAATAAATATATTTGCCTTTTATAGAATATAAATTTAACATCAATTACATGAAATGATCATGAAAATTGGCTAAAATGTAGGTACCCCCCTTCAAAATTAAAAAATTTTCAATGGGGATGTATTTGATTCTCTATGCCAGCAACCCACGCTTTTTTTTAAAAAATTTAAGTACATTTGAACTAGATATAATTCCTTTCTTTCCACTGATTATTTTTTTAAATTAGTTTTCACTCTTTCCATAACCCAGCTTTTTCTTACAAAACCTGCTGATTTTCTTCATTTTTCATTAATAACGGGTACCTGCCCCCTGAATGATTAACATGATTACCTTCAGAAATTATTAGAGATAAAAGAAAAACAAGCAATACATAAGCGAAATTAATCATTTTATTTTAAAAGTTTAAAAGAAAAATAGAAAATGCTTCAATTTATAGACATTTTTTGTTTCACAGATGGGGGTCTGATTGACGGGGGTGTGAAATGTAACAGCCAATGTGTACTTAAGCTAAGACTGTCAGTCCCAATATTCAAGAGGTGAGATAAGCAATGGATATGTGCAAAAATTTTATAAATTCCCACTTTTTATAAATGTTTCTTTTACTTATGGGAAAAACCCCTACATAAACAAATACATGGGCGCAGACTTTTTGGACACCCAAGGTTGTGCGGAGGAAAAAATGCTAGCTGGCGCGTGATTGGTCAATAAGAGAAAAGACTTGTTATGTTTTTAAAAGGGAAAAAAAGTTAAAAAAATCTGATATCAAGACTTGTTTTTCTTTGAGGTATATAGGAGTTACAGGAAAAAATTTTAAAAGGGGGGACACTTTGGTTAGAGATTTTCATTTGGTGTCAAACCACCTATTTGTAAAAAAAGGGGGAAATTAAAAGTAAAAGTGCAACGGCACGGTATTTTTTTTTGGCATTTTTTGTGTTAATATCTCAACTTTCACACAAAAAGACCATTTTCCCGAAATTCAATATATGTATCAGTGAGAGGTGCTAAAGTTTGTATGGAAGTCTAGGGGAAAACATTTGGTGGTGTTTGTCCTATAGAAAAGGTATGATTTATGGATAAAAATTATTACAGCCAAAAAATCAATCAGTTCCTATTTTTTCGGCGTTGGGATTATATTTTAGTTAGTTTTGACTATTTGTTTAAAAATTAGAGGGTCTGGGAAAAGGGGCTCACAAGGGGGACTGCACATAGTGAAAAAATGCCAAACTTTTTGCCCTAGCTCTCATATTTTCAATAAATGTACATGTAAATAATTTTAAATAAATATTTATACCGAAATTTACTGTGAATATTGTAATTAATACAATATCAATATTTATGGGCATCATCAATACACAAAACATATGAATATCCCCCTCGCAGTTTGAAAAATTCATTTAAATCCATGTATTTTATGAGTGTAGACATTGGAACAGATTGAATAATCCTCTTTCAAATTTGTGTTAATCAGAGTTGATTAATAATTTATAACAAAATTTGACTGCTGTTAGCTAATTAGGGTACTTTGTTTTTACATAAGGGGCATAATCCAGCAGAAAAGCCAGTTTCAGATGTAATCAGTGCTGGCTTGAAAAAAGAGTTATACTATTGGTGAAACTTAGAGATTAAGTAGGAAATTTAATTTAAATTACAGCACAATATATTCTTGCTGAAAATACATTGAAAATGCAATAAATATGCAAAATTATAACTGAAAAAATTATAAAAAAGGTTTAAATATCCCTCCTCCTTGCCATATCCAATCTTGATATTCTGCTAAAGGGGGGGGGGTAATTTTTGCTTAAATCATGCTGAAAAATGAAGGAATTTTTTTTAAAATTTTGGGTTTTATTTGAATAACAAGAGTCATGTTTATCTGCAGTTATTTTTTTCCAATTTCTTTGATATTTTTAAAAATAATTATCTGAGTAAATTCTATTTAACATGATTTTTTTAAAGGTATTACATCAAAAATGCTTAAAAGAAATTCAAAATATGGTGTAAATAATAAAAAATTAAGATATAAGCTGCTATATGCATTTATCAGTATGTTTTAATAAAATAAAATGTATTTTAGCAATGCATTATCAAGAAGGAAGAGATTAATAACCCTACCCCTTACAATGAACAAAACATGGACACACTCGGGATGATCCTTTTGCTTTCATTCAGAGTTTCAAGGTATGGTTTTCTTAGAAAATCTAGTTAATCTCTTAATATTTAAGTTATTAAGAATTTTTATAGATTATTAGAAAATAAATTTCCTCAGAACTGCAGTTATTAAGCACTTTGCTTACAATTGAGCACTATATTCAGTCAGACAATATGATTTATCTTCCCTTGGCATTTAATCAATTTATTAATTATGTATTATAAAAAAAATTGCTAATAAAAAATTTTCCTTTTATGAAATATACATATTTAACATCAATTACATGAAATGATCATGAAAATTGGCTAAAATGTAGGTCACCCCCCTTCAAAATTACAAAATTTTCAATGGGGATGTATTTGATTCTCTATGAGCAACCCACTGCTATAGATTTTTTTAAAATCTTAAGTACATTTAAACTAGATATAATTCTCTTTCTTTCCACTGATTATTTTATCTACATTAGTTTTACTTTTCCCATAACCCAGCTTTTTCTTACAAAACCTGCTGATTTTCTTCATTTTTCATTAATAACGGGTACCTGCTACCCTGAATGATTAACATGATCTACCTTCAGAAATTATTAGAGATAAAAGAAAAACAAGCAAACAAAAGGAAATTAATCATTTTATTTTAAAAGTTTGAAAAAAAAATAGAGAAATGCTTCAATTTATAGACATTTTTTCTTTTTCACAGATGTGGGTCTATTACGGGGGTGTGAAATGTAACAGCCAATGGTGTACTTAAGCTAAGACTATCAGTCCCAATATTCAAGAGGTGAGATAAGCAATGGATATGTGTTCTAAATTTACTAAATTGACCACTTTTTATAAATGTTTCTTTTACTCTATAGGAAAAACCCCTACATAAACAAATACATGGGCCAGACATTTTGGACACCCAAGGTTGTGGGAAAAATGCTAGCTGGGGGTGATTGGTCAATAAGAGAAAAGACTTGTTATGTTTACAATGAAAAAAGTTGATAAAAATTGATTAAGACTTGTTTTTCAGAGTCTACACATATTTTTCGAAAAGTTTTCATGTAACGTTAAACCGAAAGTAGAATGTTTATCTTTGTTAAAAAAATTGTTTTACTTTTTTTGAAATTATTGATTTAATCTTTATGGTTATATTTATCGTAAAAAGGATTATCTGAATACAGAAATATATATTACACTATCAGAATAAAATCATATTTAAATCATGACAAGATAATGATAATAATGAATCTCAAAATAGGGGCCTGTTCATGTATGGACATGTGTCACATTATCAGGACATAAATTTTAAATATCCATGTCAAAACCATAACATTTACATCACACGTTTTCTGCATATCAAATGAAATGTAATCTATTGCATTCAGAACACCATTACATTACACGGACAGGGTGCCAAAAGTTTCAAGCATGTGTTTAAGTTTGACTTCACAATTGTTGAACACCTATGAAGTGCAAAGTCATAATCCAAAATCACACTCACATTGACCAGAAGCTGTTATTTTGGCTCTTCCATTAACTGTAGCTTACACGAAGGACAATAAATAGGTTTTTAAATATAAATCACATTGGCAGTCAATGTAGAGAGTTAAAAATATAAATATAAGCAATGAATCATTTTTTTTTTAAATAAAGTCTCATAACTGCAACGGTGTGTGCAAACAAATTTTAATAACCCATGACAATTTGTTTGCACACTTCGTTGCAGTTACGAGACTAAATCTTTCAAAAAATAATAATTCATTGCTTTTATAAGCACTGTACAATGATACAATTTACATTACATATTTTTAAATTTTAGGTTCAGTTCAGGATGAATTCTGGTGCTTATGAAGTGATGAAGGGAAAACCATGGAAAGCTATCAACTTTGATTGGGATTTTTCAGTCGGTGATAATAGACTCAGAAGAGGAATCGCAATTATACAACAGAGGCAGATTTTTACTAGAATGTTGGTAGATTTAAAGTTTGAAATTTATCCATTTGATAACCAAAAAAATGTGAAGTCCACAAGAAATTTATCCAAGACCCAATTTTTGGAAGAATTGAAAAAATGTACGTCAATTTTTCACTGTTTGTCTTAATTCACTATATACTGAGTATATCAAACATGTATCCAAACTTCAAATTAGAATTGTTTCAGCCAGAGATATATATCTACATATATGTACTTTATGCATGCATGGGAAATTTTGCTCCTGTTTTATTTTTGACGTTTAGTATTAACCTCAGTTGAACAAATTTAAAATGGGCGAATTTCATAGAATATGTATTTGATTTCTTAAACAAAACTGTTACTGGTCGAATTTAAAATGGGGCAAAAATGTTTGCAAGTGTGAAAGGGTGAAAATAAAGTGGGACAAAAATAACCCTGTATATGTATATATACCTGAAACATGTACATGTAGTATCTAAAAACCATATGCTTCAATGTGGATATATTTTTTTAAAATCTGTGTCAACTGAATAGCTGGAGTATATTGCTATTTATGAGGATATGTTTGAGTTAAGAGTCAAGGTCACCAGGTAGTGCAATGTTGACAGGCTATCAACTTGGAACCTGAAGATGTACCATTTGAAATAAATTTGTAAAAATTAAGCCCCCTCCCCTCACAAGGAGAGATAATCAAGAAAAGACAAAGATAGGTTGGGGTAATCTCCAAATATTCTAAATCTTTCCAAGAACCACTGGGCTAGAAAAGCTGAAACATATGTGAAAAGTGTTTTGGGGTAGTGTGGATTCTAAATTCTTCAAATCATGACCCCTGGGGTAGGACGAGGCCACTATGAGGAATCAAAGTTTCAAGTAAAAATATCCATGAAAATCTTTTTTTAAAAAATCTTCTTTTGAGGAAACAATGGACAAGAAAAGTTAATAAATTGAAAACTTGAGTGGAAGCAACCTGGGGTAGTGTCGATTCTAAATTGTTCAAATCATGGTCCCCAGGGGTAGAATGGGGCCAAAATAGGGAACCAAATTTTTCAAATTAAAATACACAAGCAAATCCCTTGAAAATCTTTTTTAGCTCACCTTAGCTGAAAGCTCAAGTGAGCTTTTCTGATCACCCGTTGTCCGTCGTCCGTCCGTCCGTCTGTAAACTTTTCACATTTTCAACTTCTTCTCAAGAACCACTGGGCCAATTTTAACCAAACTTGGTACAAAGCATCCTTGAAATCAAGGACCAAGACCCCTTCCAAGGGGAGATAATCAAGAAAACAGAAAAATAGGGTGGGGTCATTAAAAAATCTTCTTCTCAAGAACCACTGGGCCAGAAAAGCTGAAACTTATATGAAAGCATCCTGGGGTAGTGTAGATTCTAAATTGTTCAAGTCATGACCCCCGGGGGTAGGGCGGGGCCACAATAGGGAATCCAAGTTTTACATAGAAATATAAAGGAAAAAACCTTTAAAAATCTTCTTCTCAAGAAGCACTGGGCAAGAAAAACTGAAACTTATGTGGAAGCATCCTTGGGTAGTGTAAATTCTAATTGATCAAATAATGACCCCTGGGGAAGGCAGTGTCACAATAGGGAATCCAAGTTTTACATAGAAATATATATGAAAAAACATTAAAAATCTTTTTCTCAAGAACCACTTGGCCAGAAAAGCTGAAACTTATGTGGAAGCATCCTGGGGTAGTGTAGATTCTAAATTGATCAAATCATGACCCCCGGGGTAGGGCGGGGCCACAATAAGGAATCCAAGTTTTACATAGAAATATAAAGGGAAAAAACTTTTAAAATCTTCTTCTCAAGAACCACGGGGTCAGAAAAGCTGAAACTTATGTGGAAGGATCTTGGGATAGTGTAGATTCTAAATTTTTCAAATCATGACCCCTGGTGGTAGGGTGGGGCCACAATAGGGAATCCAATTTTTACATAGAAATATATAGGAAAAATCTTTGAAAATCTTCTTCTCAAGAACCCTTGGTCCAGAAAAGCTGAAACTTATGTGAAAGCATCTTGGGGTAGTGTAGATTATAAATTGTCCAAATCATGACCCCTGTTGGAAGGAAATCTGTTAAAGAACAGCATGGCCAAAGTTTCTCAGGTGAGCGATGTGGCCCATGGGCCTCTTGTCTGAAGAACCACTAGGCCAGAAAAGTTGAAACATATAGGGAAATATTCAAGGGTAGTTTAAATTTTAATGTAATAAAAACATGGGGCCACAATAAGTATTACAAGGAAAGGGGTAAATCTAGTGAAAAACAGAAGGGCCAAAGTAACTGAGCATTGTTGCCCATGGGCCTCTTGTCATTAATGATCTAAAGTTGTATCCTGATCATGACCCAAGGTCATATCTCAAGGTCATGTTAGGTCACTGGCACTGGTAAGGTCAATGAAATGATGACATTATAGATCAGAAGAAATCACAAGCATCTTTGGGTAATGTTGCTTGAATTTTGATCAAAACATTAATTTATGGTCATTATATGGGGAAAAGATGTATTAAATAAAAAAAATAATGACATTAAAATTTGCAACAATTGTCAAGTAGACAATGAGCCACAATATGTGTATACTGTAGGTAAATAGATCGCTATTGTTTTAGCTAGCTCTACTAGTCAGAGACCAGAAGAGCTTATTTGATTAGTAATGTGTCCGTCTGTCTGTCTGTAAACAATTTTTCAAAAAAATTGCTATTCCTCCTACAGTTCTAGTCTGATTTCCATATAACTTGGCACAAAAGTAGACTACACTTAGATACATGATTCTATATATCGGTTTTTGATTTCGATGAATGGTGTTGCCGTGGTAACTAAAAATAGACATTTTTGTGAAATACTTTTAAAATGCTTCTCCTCCTATAATTTTAGTCTGATTTCAATATAACTTGGCACGCAAGTAGGCTACACTAAGATACCTATTTCTTTTTATCGGTTTTTGATTTTGATGAATGATGTTGCCGTGGTTACTAATAAAAAATTCTGTGAAAAACATTCAAAATGCTACTCCTCCTACAGTTTTGGTCTGATTTCGATATACTTAGCACACAAGTAGACTACACTAAGATACAAAATTCTGTGTATCAGTTTTTGATTTCGATGAACGGTGTTGCCGTGGTTACTAAAAATAGACATTTCTGTGAAAAACATTCAAAATGCTACTCCTCCTACAGTTTTGGTCTGATTTCAATATAACTTGACACACAAGTAGACTACACTGAGATACAAATTCTGTTTATCGGTTTTTGATTTCGATGAATGGTGTTACCGTGGTTACTAGAAATAAGAAATTTCTGTGAAATACTTAAAAAATGCAATTCCAAATACAGTTTTAGTCTGATTATAGTACATGTATAATGTGGCATGCAAGTATTGTACACTGAGATACATGATCATTATTCTATTTATTGCTGTTGTGAAGTCTCAAGTCCCAATTGCCACCTTTCTTTGTTTAAAGTACAAACCAGTAGAGCTACAGTCTCGACACAGACTTCTGGTTTGAAAGAGAGTGATGGTGGTGGACAGAATTACAAAAAGTTTCATGAATGTTTTAAATGATCTCAATGAATTCATGTTTTGTGCTTTGATAATGTGATGTAAGATGATCTTAAATGTTTGTTTAACATGTTGAAGTTAAAGGACTTTGCTGTGGTGGCTCGTGTGGATGCCTTTGGGTGACAGTGTCCTCCCATGGAGTGATTCTGCCACAAAATGAACAAAGAGACGGACAGACAGACAATGTGGAAACCCAAGACAGACAGACAGACAAGGTGGAAACATACGAGGATTACGTTTTGACACATCCAGAACCAGACAAAAACGGATTCTCAACAGACTTTAAAGATGAACGAGTCTCAGTGAGGGAAATAGTTGAAATATTCAAAGATCCAGAATTAAAAGGCATACCAAAAATATTCTTTATTCAGGTACAGCTCCATTTTAAAAAAAATAAAACTTGTAAATATAATATTGTAAAACACAAATTTCTGTGACACCATGATTTTGGGGGAATCATAGTTGTTCAATTGCTAAATTAAGTCAAAGCAAAATTTCTTCCAAATAAAGTTATAATTGTCTGTGTTCTGTATGATTTGGTTTTTTTTTTACTCTAGAGAATAAACATTTCTTTGTAGGCATGTAGAGATGACTCAAAACGAATTTCTGGAGATCCTGGGGTTGATGTAGGTGTACAGGTTATTGTTGTAGAAGATGAAAGTTTGTCCGGCAAGTTTTAATTTCTTTACATCATGTTTATCTGTAGTATTAAATTTGTGGATTGGCTTGTCAAAAACGGAAAGAGCTTATATTTATGCCTCCCTTTGAAGATTGGAGGACATATTGGTTTGCTGCTGTCTGTCGGTCGGTCAGCCAGTTGATCAGTCTGTCTATCAGTCCATCAAGTTTCTTTTCATTTTCTTTGCAGAGGTTGCACATATTGAAATGAATTTCAGTGTTATACAGATTTATCATAAGAATATCTAGGTCAAGTAAAATTTTGGGTACAATTGAGAGATTTGACAGAGTTATGCCCCTTGCACTTAGAATGAAACATATGGAGATACCAACAGTATTCAAGCTTAAAAGTCCGTAAAACAATACAAAATAGGAACAGAGCAAATACAACCCCTTGAAACATCAGAGGTGGGATGAGGTGCCATGGATGAGAGAGCATCCCCTGCAGGCCAGTTACACCCGCCGTGTGCTCCTTGTCATGATAGGGAAATGAAAAAATACATCGACAATTCAATGTATAAATAATGGACTAGTCTAACATTTCGTATGAAAAACGTCAGTCAGAATTTGACTCAATGATATATTATATTTCCTAACAAGGTCATTGTATAGACCATAGAACTTATGAAATGATTACTTTAAACGAGACTGTAGATATTCTTGTTTCATTAACTTGATTGTTTAATACATGTATCACAAGTTTCATTTTTATTGAAAAAACTGTTGAAATTCTTGTTTCATCAACTTATTTGTTTAAAGATGTATATGCCGTATTTTTGCACAACTGAAACCAAACAAAAATTCCTGAAGTATGATAAGCTATAAAAAATGAAGCATTCTTGCAAATTCGACGAAATATTATTTGTTATTAACAAAGTACTGGTCAGGAAAAGAACATGATATTCTAATGCATATTTATGAAGAATTGACGTGATCGTTTTTCCAAGCATTTTACATGCTTATGCATTATGTACATTATTATATCTACCATGCTCACATATACATACAAATGATTAACAATGATAAAAATTAGGGTTTTCCTCGCCCCATTGTACAAGTCTGTTTATTTACAGCTTTCTCCTTGCTGTGATTTCAGTGAAAAGTCAATTTCACGTGATCATTCCATGGTACAAAAAGCAACTAACTCTGAGATGTGCTCATGTGTTGAAAATGTTTACAAAGTACATGTATACAACTTCGAAACACACAGACGAGTATGCTACTCAACACACGTTCTACGATCAATGCACATGAAATTAATACAGAGGGATTTTTTTTTTTAAAAAACGTGCAACTTAAGTCTTTTCTTCTTTTTATAAATGAATGAACTTTAAATTTTTAGTAACAAATAACTAAGCAACAGTTAACTCAACCAGTTACATTGCAAATTTACGAATATCGAATTTAAAAACTGGAGTCTTGTTTACTTGAAGAGACATTGGGAGCGGTATTTCAAAATACTTTTTAAGAAGGAAAACTGAATTTGTTTGTTAATGTGAGCATGGGAATTCTTAATTAGTATCTATTCTTCGTATTTTTCTCAAACATGTTCAAAAAATTGTAAATTGGCTTTCCAGCATTCATTTGAAATCGCATCCTAAATTTCCCTAACGCACGTGTTTGTAGTAAAAATCCACATACAGTAGCCAATCATACCTTTCGGCTCATTCATGAGATTGGACCATTGTTTGCTGTGAGCATGAATATTTCAATAAGTTTAATATCCGACTCGGAGAGAAAATAATTTTTACTAAATAATATTTCATTTACACTTTTTGATGTGATTGAGTGGGATTGTTTTGTTTGCAGAAAGTATGTAACTTATATAACTTGATGAGATACCACATTTATTTATTTCTTTAAAAATAAAACACTAATACGGCATATATATCTTTAATTTATGAGTTTCATTTTCATTGAAAAGCAGGCCTGGGGGCCATAAAACTTAGACAAACTCAGTTTTGGTCTCAATCTCACTTATACCAAAGGAATATTGTAGTGGAAAAGTGAGATCTAGTCTGAGCTCAAAAGCGACTCGTCTAAGCTTTATGTCAATGAGATCGAGAAGCCTGGACTTTAATTTATCGTGGGGAATGGTTATGAATAAAGTTGAAAAGTCAAAAGTTTTTAAGCTGTTGATTTTGGTAAAATCTTGTGATTTCAAATGGTCCGAAAGTTCCTTGGAATTTTTAGGTATCCACAACTGACTTACACCACTTCTTGAATATATTGTTCCTTCACTACTGCAAATATCTTAGTGAGGAGATAAGAAACAGGCTTGGTTGAACATTTACTGAAATCCGCAATGTATCTTTGTTTGTAAGGATTCATATGAAGTTTCAGAATCCAATATGTATGTGATAGTTCAAAATCATTTTTGTTCTTTGGGATATTAAAAATTTTCAAAATTGACATATGATTTTAAAGAATTTTCTCCTTAGAAAGGGAACTATGAGTATAAGTTGGATTACCCCAGTACCACTTGTAGAATTAAATCCAAGTTCTTCTAAAATACATGTACAATTGATATACTGAGCCTTATACAAGCAAATAATTATATTTTAAGCAATTGCAATGCAAGCTTAAAATTTATCATTGTAACAGTTAAAATTTCCCAATTTATGGTTTGTCTATATTTTCTCCAGTCTCACTGAAATCTAATCTTTCAGGTACTTCAGTTGAATTTCTACCGACCCCACTAGAAAACCAAACCGTAAACCCGCCTCCCGGCATTGATGAATCAAAACATAAAACTGAAAATCCGGGATCAGATGAAGGTGTGATGTTATTTGTTGGAGAAGAAGAAAGTAAGTCAGGCAAGTTTTAATTTCATTACATCATGTTTTTCTGTAGTTTTAAATTCGTGGGTCGACTATAGTCAAAGAAGAAAAGAGCTTATATTTATGCCTCCTTTTGAAGAAGGGAGGACATATTGCTTTTCTGTTGTCTGTCAGTAAGTCTGTCGGTCTACCAAGTTTCTATTCATTTTCTTCACTATGGTTGCACATACAGATTTATCATTAGAATATCTACTAGGATAAGTTCTGTTTTGGGTACAATCAAGCCATTTTAGACAGATTTATGCTCCTTGGACTTAAAAAATATCAATTATTTGCAGTTTCTGTTCGACATTTTCTTCACAGCAGTTCCACATACTGAAATGAAATTTAGTATACAGATTTATCTTAGAAATATTTAAGTCAGGTTTTGTTTAAGGTTTGATCAAGAAATTTTTGACAGAGTTATGTCCCTTGGACTAAAAAAAGAGAGGGGCATAAGTGTTTATACAAACATCTCTTGTTTGGTAAGGGTTTTCAGTCTGTCTGTAACTGATTTTTATGCCCCGCCATGAATATAGCCGGGGCATATAGTGTTTGTCATGTCCATCTTCCGTCCTTCCGTCTTTCCGTCCTTCTGTCCTTCCGTCTTTCGTCACACTTTGCGTTTAGCTCTGTTCAAAGCTAAGTTTCAAAGAAACTATCCAAGATATTTTCATCAAACTTCATAGGCTGATAGATATTGATGAGAACTATGCAACTGCATCAACATTTTTTGACCCTGACATTTCCTTTGACTTTGACCTCACTTTTCTTAAATTAGTGTTTTGCTCAGATTTGAACATACCATTCAAGATGGTGTTATCAAACTTCACATGTTGATACAAACTTGCACGGATGATGCATCTAGGGATGAACACTGCCAGACTTGCTTCGGATGCTGGCTCTGACCTACATTTTCCAGATAAGTGACCAGGTTAATGTTTTGGAGCAGGTCCACTTCCAAGGAACTATAAGCCCTATCCAATTTAAATTTTCATGGATGATGCATCTAGGGATGAACACTACCAGACTTGCTTCGGATGCTGGATCTGACCTATATTTTCATTCCCAAGTAACTGTAAGCCCTGCCTGAACCAAACTTGCATGGATGATGCATCTAGGGATGGACACTACCAGACTTGCTGAGGATGCTGGATCTGACCTATATTTTCATTCCCAAGTAACTATAAGCACTGCCTAAACCAAACTTGCATGGATGATGCATCTAGGGATTGACACTACCAAACTTTCTACGGATGCTGAATCTGACCTACATTTTTATTCCCAAGTAACTTCAAGCCCTACCTGAACCAAACTTGCATGGATGATGCATCTAGGGATTGACACTACCAAACTTGCTTCGGATGCTGGATCTGACCTATATTTTCATTCCCAAGTAACTTTAAGCCCTGCGTGAACCAAACTTGCATGGATGATGCATTTAGAGATGGACACTACCAGACTTGCTTTGGGTCTGGATCTGACCTATATTTTCATTCCCAAGTAACTATAAGCCCTGCCTAAACCAAACTTGCATGGATGATGCATCTAGGGATGGACACTACCAGACTTGCTTTGGGTGCTGGATCTGACCTATATTTTCATTCCCAAATAACTATAACCCCTACCTGAACCAAACTGATCAAATTTCATACACATACGAATTTTCATGTTGCTTTACTAATATATCCTCGGCGGGGCATTCATTTCCTATGGACATATTTCTAGTTTAAAACTCATCCCTAGCTCATATAAATTATTTCCATTTTTATTTGAACCTAGCACCCAATTAGACAACATCAAGATACATAATTCTGCATGTCATTATTTTTAATCTAATCTTATACTGGATATTCTCTTTATTATTAAACACCATGCATGAAAGGCAGAGGGGATGGGGGTATATACAGTGGACCTTCAGATATCCAGACACCAGATAGCGGACGCTTCAGTATCTGTAGGATTTTTCATGGGAACAGAATTTTTTAATGTTATTTTGTCTTGTTTAACTGGTAATTCAGGTATCCGGACGCTTCACAAATCAGGACAAATTGACTAGGTACCAATGTATAGTGATAAATGAGGTTCCACTGTAGTGATTTGGTTTCCATTCATCTGTCTATCCTGTACCCATCTCTCAAGTTATCCAAAACTCCTCTTACACCAATAAGTGAAATTTAAGGAGACTTTCACAGAATATTTGTTATATTTAGTAATAGTACCATTGTACACCTTCTGTTTAAAGGATGAGGTGACTTGCGGCCCCTCGTATACTGACAAAAAATTTAATGTCAGAATTTTACTCAATTTTTTGTATGTAACTAATCACTGATATGTGTACTTTTATAGAATACTATTTTTAACAAAAATAGCAACGTGATTTGAAAGGTATAAATCTTTTATTGGGGTAGGGGTGTCATGTTTACATTCAATTCCCATTGCATTTTAACCCCGCCCCACTCTTTGAAGCCCTTAAAATATACGAGCGCAGATAGGTACAATTTTCTCCTTTGGCTTGTCACTGTATTTTATTGAAATCTACCTATATGTGAAAGGAGAAAATTGTACCTAACTGCGCTCACATGCTATTTTTTAAAAATTTGTAAAATCTAGTTGGCCTTTCCCATTATAACCAGATCGACGGAACTAGATTTTCTGACGCAAGAATGAATTCATATGTTAATCGAGGCACAAGCGATACTTTCTAACTGACCAATCAGCTAAATGAAATTCGTTACGAGTGAGTACCTCAAAAATACTATGGAATCATGCTTGGAATTTTACTGCTTTCCGACATTTTTTTTATGCATTTGAGTCACACATTAGACACGGATCTACATATGTACCTTTTCCGAGACCACGGTAAAATTAATATACAGATACAAACAATTGATAGAATATACATGATATACATTTAAAAGTTTTGTAGCGTGTTTGGTGAGCACTTCGCTGGGTCTACACGTATTCCCGAGTATCGGTGAATACAAGTTTCATATGAATTTCTTGTCCTAAAAACCGTAAGTGATGAGAATCCATGCGTATTTTCAAGTGTAAACAGCATTGGGTGACCATTATAAAAGTTTGAAATGTAGAAAAGGACAACAGGTAAATTTACTTAAACCACGTGTCTGCGATAAAATGTACACGTAGTAAACCAGCATGTTTTCTTGTTCTATCATCGGATTGGACAACGACTAAGTGCGAAATAATAACAATAGCCATATAAGGTCTTCTCGGACACGCATATCCATCTATTGTACTAAGACCCGCCCATTCTCTTGCCATAAAAGAAAATATTCTCACAAACCTGGCCAAATTTAGATGTGATAGGGTATAAAAAATCAAAGATAATGCAGTATTCCTTATAATGAAAATGTGTCTGAACTATTGAAACTATTCAAAAGGAGTCGTATTGATTCACTCATGTTTGAAAACTAACAACATCGTTGTAGATTAAATATAATTCGTCGTGGAAAAAGGGGCCCCAGATAGCAGTTATGTCACATCATCCTTTGATTGAATGCATATTTAGTGAGCTCAATACTCACAAGTACCTCTAGTTTTTCTTACTATCAACCAAGAGGTACTGTGAGCAATGAGCTCACTAAATTATACCCCCATCTCCCATATGAATATAATTGCAGTGTCCATGTTTTGCCATGAGAAACCCAAAATATGTCTCGGATCAAAAAGTAAAATAGAAGATGCCCAATGGCAATATGTGATAAAGATTCTGTGAAAGTCTCATCAAATTTCATTTAGTGGTATGAGAGAAAATATGGATAAGAGATGGGTACCCCAAAGCATATCAGACAGATGGACATCCCGGATCCCGATTACTGTATACCCTCCCACTTTTCAAACCGGGGGTATAATTAATTAAATTTTAAAACAGAAATTATTGTCAAGTTCTTTTAAGATCTTAGTTCTCTTTTAGCTTTCGTATGATTTAAATCATATAATTACAAACTGTCCAAGATTCATAATTCTGCATGTATATTTTTAGGTCACCTGAGTAAACTCAGGTGACCTATTGCTATCCGTTGTTGTCCGTCGTCGTGCGTCGTGCGCCGTGCACTGTGCGCCGTGCGTTAACATTTGAACATTTTCAGCTTCTTCTCTGCAACCTCTCAACCAATTTCAACCAATTTTGGCACATAGCATCTATGGATAAAGGGGAACAAAAATTGTGAATTTCACGGTCCCTGCCCCCCTGGGGCCTGAGGGGTGGGGCCAAAACCACTAAAATTAGTGCAATCTTTAAAAATCTTCTTCTTTACTCCTGGACATCATGCAGGCAAACTGTTGGCATGAATGTAATGAGCATTGAGTCCTCTACCAAAATTATGAAATTTATGGCCCCAGGGTTAGGGGTTCTTGTGCTAGGGCGGGGCTATATAGATTATAAAGTGAAAATGCATTATTTCTTTGAAGATCTTCTTCTCTGCTCTTGGGTATTAAGTAAACTAAGTAAGTACATAGTTATGTTGAGCAAGAGTGCCTCTTCCAAAATTGTGAATTTTATAGCCCCAGGGTCAGGGGTTCTGGTGTTAGGGCGGGGCTCTATTGATCATATAGTGAAAATGCATGAATTCTTTGAAAATCATCTTCTCTGCTCCTGGGTATTAAATAAACTTATTAAGTACATACTTATGTTGAGAAAGAGTGCCTCTTCCAAAATTGTGAATTTTATTGCCCAAGGGTCAGGGGTTCTGGTGTTAGGGCGGGGCTCTATTGATCATATAGTGAAAATGTGTGAATTCTTTGAAAATCTTCTTCTCTGCTCCTGGGTATTAAATAAACTAACTAAGTACATAGTTATGATGAGCAAGAGTGCCTCTTCCAAAATTGTGAATTTTATGGCCCCAGGGTCAGGGGTTCTGGTGTTAGGGCAGGGCTCTATTGATTACATGGTGAAAATGCATTTATTCTTTGAAAATCTTCTTTTCTGCTTCAGGGTATAAAATAAACTAACTAAGCACATAGTTATGATGAGCAAGAGTGCCTCTTCCAAAATTGTAAATTTTATGGCTTCAGGGTCAGGGGATCTGGTATTAGGGCATGGCTCTATGGATTATAAAGTGAAAATGCATTATTCTTTGAAAATCTTCTTCTCTGCTTCTGGGTATTAAATAAACTAACTAAGTACATAGTTATGATGAGCAAGAGTGCCACTTCCAAAATTGTGAATTTTATGGCCCCAGGGTCAAGGGTTCTGGTATTAGGGCGGGGCTCTATTGATTATATAGTGAAAAATGCATTAATTCTTTGAAAATCTTTTCCTCAAATTTGCTCCTGGGTTATATGCCAATGACCCAAGTATATATTTATTTATGATGAAGAAAGGTGCATCTAGCAAAATGGTTATTTTTTATGCACCCCTGGGTCAGGGGAGTGGGGGGGGGGTTACATAGTCTGAAAATAAATTGATGCTTTGAAATCTGCTCTTCCGTATTAATCAACAATTTAATGATAAAATTTGCAAAATTTTGAAATATGTGGCCCCAGGGTAAGTGGTTCTCCTGGGTTGAGATGCATAACTGGTTAGAAAGTGGAAGTGCATTTTCTCTTTGTTACTCTGATCTACCTCTGGGTATTAAGTAAATAGAGTAAGCATGCTAAGTTTATAATTATGATATTATAAGCAATGGTGCCTCTTTCAAAATTGTGAATTGTGAATTTCATGGCCTCTGGGGTAAAACACGAACCAATTTTAATTGTTTGAAAGTTGTTACACGATACTCAGGTGACCTATAAGGCCCGTGAGCCTCTTGTTAATACCCCCTGCTTGAAAAGTAGGAGGTTAGTGATCGGGGTGTCCGTCCACCTGTCTAGCTGTACATCCGTCTGTCTGTTACGTTTTCGGGTACCTATCTCCTATCTTGCAACTCCTCCAGGACCTATACCACTAAATGAAATTTAATGAAACTTTCACAGAATATTTGTTACATAGTGCCATTAGACACCTTTTATTTTATATTTTGACTGGACACATATTTTCGGTTTCCCATAGTGGAACATTGATCTGCCATTCTTTCTATAATATTGAAGGGTATCCATCTCTTATCTGCAATTTCTCTTATACCACTGAATAAAATTTAATCATATACATGTACTTTCACTTAAAACATTTCTGTGATGTCATGCCTTTGTTCTTGCATTATAAAAATATTTACCTGAAGCCATCAGATAATAATTACTTGTCCAATAAATATATAATCGGACGGCAATGAAAACAAAATAGGACGGTATTTAAATAAACAAATAAACAAAAAAGAAGTATGAAATAAAAGTAAAATATGTCCAGAAACCAAAAAAAAATGTAAGAAAAAAAATTGATGGAAAGCAAACACAAGAAAATTAAGTTGCTACAAAAAAGCAAATCCATGAAAAAAAATTCCAGTTTAAACATTCCTCAACATTAATACTATCCATTTTTTAAAAAGTCTTTTTGATACAGCACTTTGAATAAGTGAATCTTTATCCATTTCTGAAAAAGCATCTGCAAATCTTAGTATAATTTTGTTCCCCGATGGCCTCACTTTTTAAACCTTAGAATTTCCACTATATAAACTCAAACTTCAGGATAAAAATGCACATTTTTACTTTCCATGGTGTAGTTAAAATATCACCATAAATTATGTCTGTAGCAATGTCAATTTATGCACATACATGTTATAAATAAAAATTCAATAAAAAATAAAATCCTTCACCACTGCCCCCTGTCCTGCTTAGCTGAACAACTGCCATTGAATGAATGAAATGAAACGAGTTCACGCACTGTTTTCATGGTTTTACTGTGACGGTGTCATTTTGTTTTCATGGTTTTTACTGTGATAGTCTCATTTCTTCTATCTACTTATCAGATGGGTAGAAAACAATGGATGACTGAGCTCTCACTGTGTAATTATCGGATTCCTACAGGTAACTTTTGGACATTACTGTTCTAACTTTTGGACATCACTTCTATATGTCAAACAGTCTGATAATTTTACATATGGAACCTTATCCGGCATATATCCATGACAGATTCTTTGTTATGTGATGCCATTGTGACATCCTATTTTACTTTTTGATCCGAGTCTTATTTCGGGTTTAACAGATCAATATATGAATGTCTGTTATGTTTTCTCCAGTCTAGTCTCACTGAATTCTAATCTTTCAGGTATTTCAGCTAAAATTCCACAGATTCCACCTGAGAGCCAAATCGTATACTCACCTCCCTGCATTGACGATAGTGTCATAGTGTTCTCAACTCCATTTGGTGAGTAGTAAAGAAATGTGCTTTGTCAAAAAGGGCATATTTTTATGCCCCAGTAATCTAAGATTCAAAGGTTTGTAGTTTTTGCCCTGTCCATCTGTTTGTTTGCAAAAATTTTAATTTACCCATAACTTTTCAGTGAATAGGCTATGACGTTCATATTTCACAGGTGTATTTCTTGTGACAAGACCTTTCTTTTGAGTACTGCAAATTTGACCTCTTGACCTTTAATTTACTCTGGAGTTTGATGAACTTTTACTGAAAATTTACAAACTAGCTTTAACTTTGAACATAACTTTTGAACAGTTAGTAATAGGGCTTTCATACTTTATGTACATTCATTGTGACAAGCCCAAATATATTTTACCGTTTGACCTTAACATTAGAGTGACCCACTTTTAAAAACTTTATTCTTTGCCATAACTTTTGAACAGTTAGGAATATGGCTTTTATATTTCACAGGTGTATTCTTTATGATAAGACATTTCTTGGGATACCAACAAATTTGACCTTGTAGTTTGACTGGCATTTGAGAAACTTCAAACCTCCCTAATAGCTGCCACAAAGGGGTATCAGGGTTTCACAAACGCATCTTGTGGGGAAAGTTTATACATGATATTCATATAAGATCTCCTCTACTTTAGGTTACCCTATATGATTTTATATAAATGTTTTTTTTTATACCCTCGGACCAAATCATACGCATTTAACTATTTTTCAGGTTATGCAGCAGGATTTAATACTGTGAAGGGAAGTCATGTTTGGAGTGATCTATCCAAGAAATTTAAAGAATTTAAAGCAGTAGTAAGGCCTGTAAAACTTCTGGACTTACTGAGAGAAACCAACTGGCAGCTATCTAAATCTGAGAACACCATTGATGGCAATGGAAAAGTTGTTGTATATAAACCATTGCTCAGTATCTGTCATACACTTACAAGACACATTGTGTTTGACAAGGACAGCTGATTAAAAAAACATGTTGTTTTCTATACGATGAATTCCCACATAGAAATGCTTTTTGTGATTTTTTTAAAAAAAAAACATAGTTTTCTCTATATTTCACATAGAAATGCTTTTTGTGATTTTTTTTTTAAAAAAAAAACATAGTTTTCTCTATATTTCACATAGAAATGCTTTTTGTGATTTTTTTTTTTAAAGCCATATGTAGTTTTCTGTATATACCCACATAGAAATGATTTTTTATTGTAAAAGACAATGTTTTTACAGATATAAGGCCTAACAATTAAAGGGGGAGCAGTGCTACAATTTGATATTGTAGAATAGTGAACTGGCTATGACACCTTTGTTAATTCAACATCAAAATTACTGTCCCATTGTACATCACATCCAGAGTCAATGTCAACTGTCTTTTCAACTAAACATGATGCCTTAATAAATTAAAGGAAAAATAAGAAATTCTATAGGTCTAAAATTTAACTGACTAAGTGTTGGCGTTATTCATGCATTGTTATGCCAACAGTTAAACTTTGGTATGTTGAATAGGAATCTCAGATATCATGGACATATTCTAGTGATTAAAAATTCCCAACTACATATTTTTTTTTTAGCCTTTTTTCCCTAATCTTTGTATATGCTTAAGTTTTTTCTTGGTCTCAACAAATATGAAAGAAAATAAAATTTAGGCAATGCAACCATACAAAATCACTCAGCAAATGGAGAACTTTATGCAATATGCAGGTATTTGTTAGCACCTAATGTACATCCAAACAAAACTGATGTTCTCAGTTTCAACATGTCATTAGGTCAAAGAATTCAAAATTTGCCCTTAAATTCTGTCACTAGCTGTGTGATATTATACATTTGACATTGTATGTTTAGTTACTGTAAACCAACTTTTATTCACACGCGAGAAATATCTGCAAGTTCCGCGACCTGAAGTGAATATTAATCGCCACAAACCATTTATTTTGCTAAGGATTTGTAGAGAATGTTTCCTCAGTCGCGGAAATTAATCATTGCAGATAATAGTTGGTTTACAGTATTACTCTTATCTGTAGCTGTGTGATATTATACATTGTATGTTTAGTTTTACTCTATCAGTAGCTGTATGATATTATACATTGTATGTTTAGTTTTACTCTATCAGTAGCTGTGTGATATTAGATATTGTATGTTTAGTTTTACTCTATCAGTAGCTGTGTGATATTATACATTGTATGTTTAGTTTTACTCTATCAGTAGCTGTGTGATATTATACATGGTATGTTTAGTTTTACTCTATCAGTAGCTGTGTGATATTATACATGGTATGTTTAGTTTTACTCTATCAGTAGCTGTGTGATATTATACATTGTATGTTTAGTTTTACTCTATCAGTAGCTGTGTGATATTATACATTGTATGTTTAGTTTTACTCTATCAGTAGCTGTGTGATATAATACATTGTATGTTTAGTTTTACTCTATCAGTAGCTGTGTGATATTATACATGGTATGTTTAGTTTTACTCTATCAGTAGCTGTGTGATATTATACATTGTAAGTTCAGTTATACTTAGTCTGTAGCTGTGTGATATTTTACATTGTATGTTTTGTTTTACTCTATCAGTAGTTGTGTGATATTATACATTGTATGTTTAGTTTTACTCTATCAGTAGCTGTGTGATATTAGATATTGTATGTTTAGTTTTACTCTATCAGTAGCTGTGTGATATTATACATTGTAAGTTCAGTTATACTTAGTCTGTAGCTGTGTGATATTTTACATTGTATGTTTTGTTTTACTCTATCAGTAGCTGTGTGATATTATACATTGTATGTTTAGTTTTACTCTATCAGTAGCTGTGTGATATACATTGTACGTTCAGTTTTACTTAGTCTGTAGCTGTGTGATATTATACATGGTATATTGGTTTTCTTTTATTTTGTTTCAATCCTGATGCTTATTCTCCCTGTTCAACAATTTTTGTGATAATCTTTTTAGATTGACATCATATCCATGTCTTGTATCACGCTTCAGGATTAAAGTTGAATAACTTTGTCATATATTACATGCATCAAGAATTCTTTATTTTTATAAATAAATTTGCTGTAAATCTAGTGTGTTTATGTTAATCAATAATCAATAAATTTTGTATTTCTTATTATGAAATTATCTAGTGCATGTACATATGATGAAACATTTCTATTTCTTTTCTCTCTGTGATAAGTCTGAAAGTTAGGCAGTTGATTTCTTTATCATTCTACTGGAGTGTAAATTTCATATGCAATATAGGCCAGGAGCTAAGGAGGCCTAAAATGCATGTAAATCTTGTCTGGCTTTGACGATAGTGGGCAGGGATCCAGGGACTACTAGTAATATTGAAATTGACACGGAATTGCAGTAATTTAAATCTATTAGTCCACATTTTTAGACTTAAATTTACATTTTTATTTCAAAATGATATAATGAATCACTGTTTAGTTAGTCAAGTATGCCAGGGACATCACTGATAGAGGGAAACATTGGATAATTTATGCACGACGGGATTCACTCTTTATGCAAATTATTCTGTCTCCAACTATTGTTGATGCCCTGGCATACTTTTCTAAGTAGACAGTGATTCTTTAAATATTGTTTGGTTGCCCTTTCCCAACCGACTGGTGACTTAAACTTTTCAACTTCTATTACTTATAAGTAGCATTAAATACGTTTATGACTGGTTCGATACGGAAGAGTATGCTCTACGTATGGAAGTTTTTTTAAGAAGTAGTTATTCACTGAATTGTCGATGGATTTTTCCATGTCTTTTCCCCTATCATGACAACGAGAACACAGGGTTGTGACCGGTCTGTAGGAGATGCTCACTCCTCAATGGCACCTGATCACATTTCTGATGTTTTAAAGGTCCAAGTTTGCGACGGATGCTCCTGACTCGCATTGTTTAATGGCAGATGATACAAACATTTTTTTTTATGGAGATGACTAAATATGATGTAACAGGTTTAGAAAAGTTGATAATTCTTAGACTTTTTTCTCCTAAGACTTGGAATATGAAATATAGACTTGGCAAATATTAGTAATACTTTAATAAAATAACAAATGCTACAGAATATTCATGTTATCTTGGTGCTAAAAGTATAATATACACTTTAGAAAATTGTACCTAGCCATGTGAATTTTATCGGGAAAAAATTCAAAATGATAAAAAACAGCCATTGTAATGTTTCAGATTTTTTTATCATTTTGTTTTTCCTCATATCTCAATATTATTTCATTTCACCTTTTGGGGCGATGAGGTGTGTACTCAATAAAAGACATTTGTCTTCAAAAATCTGTTTAGACTCTTACTTTTTTATGTTCTCAATCTGTGCAATAAGATTTCAGAATTTTGAATAATGTCATTCTTGCGCGGCCATGTCAGAGTCAAAATGATTCGTTTAATACAAAACCTGATTTCTGAACTCATCTTACATTCTTCATAGTAACACACTCATATTTTGGAGTGATTCTGAGCATGTCCTGTAGAGGTGCAACTTGATTCTAAAGAATGATTGCACTTAGTGTATAAAACGTGGCCCCCGGTAAATTGCGCAAAAAATAAAGTATAGAAAGTAGCCTTATGAGATTAATAATATTTTTAAACAATGAGAACGTATTTTTTTTTACTACTACGGAGACTGTAATTGGTATACTAGTTACTACCCATGACAGTAATCTTTCATTTAAAAATGGATCAATATAGTGTGGTTGCTGCTCATCTTTCTTTGCTATAAATAAATTTCTTCAAATGAAAAGGAACACATTTTTAAAGAATGAAGAAAAATCCTTTTATTGAAACATTGAAAGAACGACATTTAAAACTGAATCACCGTAAAATCTCCAGCAGCTGAAGCATAACACTGAGTTTATAATTGGTCTGGCGATGTAGTGATTGTCTCCTCAACTTTTCCTTCCTCCTCCTTTCTATTTCCTCCCTTCGTTCTCTGGCTCTCTCTTGCTTCTCTATCATTGCAAGCTCCCTTTTACCTGTAAAAAAAGAATTCATATATTAAACACAAACTAAGTATTTATTCTTTATCGTACATACTTTAATTCCTTCATTGTTAGACCCTTGTTATGGTGGTAAATTACATAAACTTCTACGTTGTTCTTACGTTTTAATGCAACTTCATCCTCATTCTCTTTTCTTTGGAGTCTTGTTTTCAGAAATGATACGTTAGGCCACATTTTCTCTCCTCCAACAGTTACAGGAATATCAAAGGCAACGCCTCCCCCGCTCACTTTGGCTTTGATTCCGTTCTTCTTCAGTATCTTTCGCAACCTCTTTTGCTGTTTTTTTAGTGCGAAAAGGAGTTGGAAAAGGCGCAACTTTACTATGGAAGCAACCCATTGTGTTTATTCTGACTTTGTTGCTATATCACGCTAAGTTACTATGACGTCATCTTTATTGTTACGTCCTTTATACTGTTACGTCAAGCGCAAAATAAAAGAAATCAGTAGAATAAAGAAGGCAGAAAGAAAATATCATTGAAATTAGAGCACTTAATATTACAGTATTCAATGATTTTATTTTATAATTTTCTTATTTCTATACCTAAAAAAAATACTAGTCCTTCGGATGAGACCTTATAATAAGAGGCGTGAATCTAGATTTTTTATCCTCGAGTGTGTGTGGAAAGGGGGGTGTAACAGAATTTCAAAAAAAAAAAAAATAAATAAAAAGACTTCTTTCCCATTGGAAAACTTGGGGTTCGTTTAAATACTTTCAAAGCATATATACCTAGGACTGTTCATACCAACATAACAAAGATTTCAGGAGGGGTCTGTGTTTTCAAAGGGGAAGTTTCCCTATACGTATGGTCACTTTTACTTCGTGTTTAAACAAAAATTAAAGGAGAATCAAACGGGCTGTGATGTATGGAGTCTGAAAATGGACTTCATTGTAAAATATAGAACTACTGTAGCTTATCCCTTTGTTATCCTTTTTTGTGGTATTCATGTCTTCTTTTTTTAGTGTGTGGTGGTATACGATCTCGAAGGGACAGGGTGCGAAATATTATTACACCGTTAGTGCTAAAAGCGGTAACTTGTAAGTCCACTCAGTAGCAATATCATCAGTAAGTAAACATTCATGAAACTGAGCATTTATGCGGTAGATTTTTTTTTATCTCAACATGTTCAATGTGAATTTGTGAAAAATAATAGATACTGGCTTTTATTTATCATGTTTATAGAGTCTACGCGTATTTTTCGAAAAGTTTTCATGTAACGTTAAACCGAAAGTAGAATGTTTAGCTTTGTTAATTTAAAAAATAGTTTTACTTTTTTAAAATTATTGATTTAATCTTTATGGTTATGTTTATCGTAAGAAGGATTATTTGAATACAGAAATATATATTACACTATCAGAATAAAATTATATTTAAATCATGACAAGATAATGATCATGATGATAATAATGAATCTCAAAATAGGGGCCTGTTCATGTACGGACTTGTGTCACTTATCAGGGCATCAATTTTAAATATCCGTGTCATAACCAGTATATTTACATTACACGTTTTCTGCATATAAAGTGAAATGTAGTCTATTGCATTCAGAACACCATATTACATGGACAGGGTGCCAAAAGTTTCAAGTATATGTTTTAGTTTGACTTCACAATCGTTGAACCTATTGTATGAAGTGCAAAGTCATAAGCGAAAAGCTTACATTGACCAGAAGCTGTTACTTTGGCTCTTCCATTAACTGTAGCTTACATGAATGATAATACATAATTATTTAGGTTTTTAAATAAAAATCAAATTTGCAATCAAGGTAGACAGGTAGAGAGCCAAAAAATGTAAATTTAAGAAATGAATCATTATTTTTGAAAGATTTAGTCTCATAACTGCAACAGTGTGTGTAAACAAATTTTCATAACTCGTGACAATTTGTTTGCACACACCGTTTCAGTTATGAGACTATATCTTTCAAAAAATAATGATTCATTGCTTTTATCAGCACTGTACAATGATATAATGTGATTGCGCCCATGTGAAAAGGATCCTTATGGCAATGTTCATGCATTTTGAGTTTTTCACGGGTTCTGATAGAGTAAAGTTAGAAGTTGTCAAATATGAATTTCTATAGTCCTACGTATACTCTAAGTGGGTTTTTTTCTTCATTTTTATCAAATATATTTTAACAGGTTAATAATGACGTCGTGTTTTTCAACAACGTCAAACGTTTTCAGAGTGAACGTTAAATGATTGTCTTCTGTAATTTTACTACAGTGATTAATAGTTGTATAACATTTAATATTTTTCCATGCACATTATGTTTATCTCATTGTCTCTTTTAATTATTAATAATTATTTAATAGTTATATATATTATGGATTCATCAGTGGTGTATAATACATGTATTATGAGTGAGTGTTTGTTTTAGATTTCACTTTTCTATGACACCAGGGGGAAACCTGAACAGCGGGCAACATCCATTCATTTTTGTTTTGAAACAATTATTTTCTCAAACAAAATATTTACTGGTAATCCATGCAAGAGTCATTTGATAAGCCTGTAGAATTCATTTGAAAATTATTTTAATTTAAACATTGCTCTCGATAGGTCAAGATTTCAGCATAAACGAGATATCTTTGGTTACCATATATGTGAAAATTATTTTTTTTTAATTACAACATTACGCTACCTAAATGCTACTGCGAAGTGAAAATTTATTTGATTGTTCTTTCTTTCTAAATTTTATATAAAGACAGGAAAATTGTGAAGTGTGGTACATGTAACATGTAATTACGATACACAATAGACAGTAAATAAAAAGGAAATTCGGTTACTTCACTGCATCTATAAGGTTCTGTCTGCATTGGGTCAATAATGACACTGCTTTTTTGAAAATATAAATGATACACGAAATATTTTTCGGTCTAGCAGTAA